AACCGCCAGCTTTTACAATGTCCTGCTCCAAACCACTAGAACGGTGCTTAGAAGTCTCCAGTCACTGTCTGACCCACAAGGAGTATGGAGTCATTGCCCCAACTAGCTCCATCTGGCTCCCCATGTCCTTTTCTCTGAGACACTGTCTCCTGAGCTTATCTCAAGTTCCACAAATAGAGAGACCTGCAGGCAATCCTCTTCTCTGGTGCAGAACCAAACCCAAAATGATGCTCAATCAGACCACAGCTTGCCCAAGCCTGCTTACTGTGTTTCGTTCTCCTCCTCCCTCCTCATCTTTGTTCCTTCCTTATGCAACCCCATGACCAATGCTAATGCCATGGACAGCAGTCAATGCGTTACTGTTTCTTCCTTTTGGCCTGAGATAAACTCCTTTCTTACTTCTCATTTGTCTGTTTGGTCGACTGGGGTGAGTGCTGAGCCTCGTCTGTTGGGGACTCCCAGTGTGAGGTTTCTGGCCTAGGACTCCAGAATCAACTTTGTGTCAACCTTAAGGCCTGACAGATGGGAAGGATTGACAGTGAGAATGGCCAGAAGTACACTGATTTCTAATGAACTGTCAGTGAAGGAGGCAGATTAAGACAGAGGGAAGGAAAGCAGGGAGGAGAAAGACCACAGCTGATGTGCACTCGTGCACACACATGGCAGACACACAAGCATGCTGCGCGTGCATTTTGCTATCACCCTGTATCGTGCATCCTGCTGCGGTGGGGACCAAGAAGGGAAGGAGTCTGCATGGGGAGAAGCACCTGTGGCCTCACTCTGCCTGGGCTTTCCTCAGGCACAATGTTCCTTGCACAGGATATGATATGCTCATTATGTCCTCTGTCATCTCCTTGCCCCCAGTGGTGAACTTGAGTTCCTGGGCAGAGTGGGCCTCAGCCAGTACATGCTGAGTGGGGGGTAAGAGACTAGAAGCAAGAGCCCTTAGAGACCAATTCTCAGCACTCCCCCTGCTTTGCATGACTAACAACTGATTACACGCAGTGTCGCGAGAGCTCCAAGAAATGACAATCTTTAAAAAATGACAGCAAGGAAGACTACATTATTTATAATAATAATTGGTACAAAGAACCACTAACGTACTATTCAGAGTCCTGACTGCACAAAGAACCAAAACACTACCAGGGCAGCACCTGACCTTCCTCCCCCTGGTGTTTTCCACAACTCCTACAGCTTAACACTTTGGGAGTAATGGAAATGTGCCTGTGACTACCAGTTTATCTGCCTCCAGCAAAGGGACATATCTCATGCGGCCTGTATGTTAACAGGACACGTGGCAGGGGTAGGAAAAGCAATCACGTGAAAAGATCTCTTGCAGTGGCACCAGCCCCTTGCTGAGCACAGCTGTGAGGATCACACTGGGGGTTCTGTCACCAGGTTCTCCTGGAGCCGTCGCTGTGTAGTGAAACTGCCCAGAGCAGACACCAGCCCTACAAGTTTCATGGCCTCCTTAGGATGTGGCAGTTTACCACCTTAAATTAGCTCACATCAAACAGACCTCAAACTAAGGAGGTAATATGTAAGCATACCTCAGTCTCTACTTCCTTTAATGGTCTTTAATTCATACAAACATGAAACTGGGCACAAACCCACCAAGCTTGTAGCTCATGGATCCTAAACAAATTCAATAAAAAATAAAACCCAAGCTATAGGGTAAATGATCCTGGGCTGGGATGTGGCTCAGTGGTAGAGCATGTGCCTACCATGTGCGAGGCCCTGGGTTTCCCTCCCAGCACTGCAACAACAACAAAACCAATCTCATTTACCCTGGGAGAAGAGGCCATGTGGTGAAAATAGTGGCTGGCCAACGCGGACATGGCGTGGGGCTGACACACGCGAGGGCACCTGACCTGCTGCTGGTGCTGCGTCTACCTGCACCCGTCGTCCACCTTCCCTTGGCAGAAGCTCTCTGTGTGCACAGGACAAAAGCAAATGCAGATGATCCTCGTTAGACTTGCTTATATTTCATAACTCTTTGGAAAAAGTCAAAGATTTTAAAAGGATCTCTTACAGAACTTCCAACCGTGCTCAGACTGAATGGGCACTTGTGAGCAGGGCGCCAGCCAGGCTCACAGAAGAAACAAGTCAGATATGCTTCTGACTGCAGTGGAACCAGGGGGCTACATGATGAGGGGCAGTTGACTCTCCCTGAAAACCACTCACTGTGTGGACCAGGGCCACAGCCTGCCTGTAGAGCTCCCTCTGCTGGGCCACAGCATAACCACCACAGCTCAGGACAGCACAGGTGTCCCAGAACCCCCAGATACTGGGACCGGAAAGCAAAGGACACGTGTGTGTTTGCGTGCATGCGCGCCCAGACGTGAGTGACTGCATGAAGCCAGCAGGTGACCATATGGATCGCCAGCTCCTAAAACTTTATTATATTTAAAGTAGGTGTTTCCAGCAGAGACCTTATTGAAGGAACTCTTGCAAAAGATGCTCTACTATTCAATGGAAAGAATCTGCTGATACATCAAGACAAAATATGTGTCCTAGCTTCTTAAAACTGGGTAGTTTGGAGTTCTTTCATGAACAGATGTAGAAGGCAAAACCACCTCCATCCTTGTTAGGGATGACAGCTGTTCTATTCCAGCAGGGGTCTCTGTCCTGTTTTCACATACTCAGGGCTATGCAGTGTTTACAGGTTTGACAAATGCCCAAAACTGGGGAACAACTACACCAAGCAATCTGCGATAATTAAGGAACAGGAAGGGAACCGTGGGAGAGGCATCGCCACATTCAGCAGGAAAGACAGGTGAGGCAGCTCACTCTTGTCTGTGAAGAGGTGTGCTCGGGCAGCTCAGGACAGCAGAGGTGTCTCGTGGTGTGCAGGTATGCCTTCTGAGCCCAGCCTCTAGCCTGCTATGGCAAGGCATTCACATTCTGACATGCAGCAGATGTGCAGGTGTCTTCCACATGGAACACTTCTTCTGAATGTTCTTTCAAATTCACAGCCAATGGCTTGCAACCCATGAGCCTGCAATGGTCTTCATGTGAAACTCCATGTAACCCAGTGCATGGGGAAGCTTGTCTTTTGCTGCACCTGCTGTCAGGGCCAAAGGAGAAAAGCAGACTGTGCAGCTGGGGACATACCCATCCTCAGATTGGCTTGCAGGAAGCTATGTGTTCATATAGGAACCTTCAGAAGGGGTTGGAACCAGCAGCCTCCCTCCAGCTCTCTGGGCTCAACTGTTAACCTTGACTGAGGGAAGCCAAGGTTATTATGCTATACATTCTTAAAAAAAAACCACAGGAGGAATTTAGGGTACCCAGTGCCTGGTTCCTGTGCCCTGGCTGGATTTTGCTGGGTTATGAAGAATGTGTTTGCTTCATGGTAAGAGTTGCCACTACTCCAGGAGAACATGGCGTGGGTGCTGACTCTTTGCAATTGTACCCAGACTGCTCCCTTCCTCCTCCACTGTCCTGTGGGCAGCTGACAACTCCTGGCCTGACAAATGGCACTGAATAAAGTGAAGTCACATTCTAGCCATGGGCTGGACAGACGGAGGCTTATCTCTGCTTGTGAGAGAAGTCTGTGGCAGCTGGTTGTGTTTGCACAACTTGCAGCTCTGATGAACACTTAATTGTCCAATGCACATTCCCATAAATAGCTGCACCTAACATCAGAATAATGTGGAAGTGGCAAAGCCTGGGTAGTCTAGTTAATCTAGTAAACCACAGTGCTGTTAGTGACAAGGTGGCCCAAACGGGTACCCTCCAGCCCACTTGGTCCTGCACCCCTCTCCAGACTGGCTTCTACCTTAGGGCACTTTACCAGGTCACCAGATTCTTTGGTGTCTATGAAAATTCAAATGCAGAACTGGATAGCAGTCTGGACATAAAAAGCACCATGTTAATTTTCATGGACTTCATATTCTGCAATCTCTTAACTTGTTTTCTAGGCAATGGGGTACCGAGTGGGTTTAGGCAGAGAATGGAATTCTCAGAACAATGCTTGGATGCACTGGCCTTCCCTGCTCATATGAGATGGTACCCAAGACTCCATTAGAAGCTGGGGCTTCTGGATAAAGACGTCATCAGGAAATCAGGCTGAAAATGAGAGAAGAGGGACTAGTGGCCACAAAGTCAGGGAGAATGAGCACAAGAAAGGAGAGCTCACTTCTTAGAACCCTTTCCCCCACATGATAAACGTGGTGGAGGCCACCACCGGAAAAAGGCCTGGCAGCACAAGGGAAGTATAGAGCCACAGAGCAGGGATGAGCAAAATGCTGGCCAGCTGTGTGGGGTGGAAAGGAAAGCTGAGGTCTCGGTTAGGAGGAGGCTGACAGAGGGTCTGTGCTGGCAGGAAGTCTGTGTCGTGTGCTTACTCCTGCTAATTATGGAGGAGCCATCCCTGAAACTTCCGAAAAGGAGTTGGGAGTGGTGGGCTGAAAACACAGGAGCCCTGTCTGCTGCATTTCTGGTGAATGACAGGAAGCCAGCAATGCTGGCCCAGCAGAGGTTCCCTGCAAAAGGAGCACCTGCCCTTTAGAGTATTTCAAAGACACAGTATCAGAAAAAAGCAAGTACTGCACAAAGGGAGAGAGGAAACCTCCTGTCTACCCAGGGAGAGAGGAAACCACCTGTCCACCCAGTCAGAGGTCCATAAATTTGTGAGTGAGTGAACATTCTGTGGCGGCTGGACCAGAAATCAAATCCTCCACAAGTTACACTGAACGGACAGAGGTAGTTATTTAAAATGGATTTACATTAAAATACAAAAATAAAAATAGTCAGCCATCTGATGGAAAGAGAGAGACTGAAACTTTCTTTTCCAAAAGCAAAGAGAAATTGCTCTGATTTTCCCAGGGAAATACCCCAGATGGTAACAGGTTAGGGTGTGTGTATCAGAGTGTATTTGGCAAGAGAGAAAGTGCTCAATTTCCATGAAGTTCTATGAAACAGGTGGAATTGCACCCCCTAAAAGATGCACTTGGTCCCTGTAACTGGGGCCTCATGTAGAAATAGGAACTTTGTCGATGTGTTTGGTAAGATGAGGCCCTGGACAAGGATGGCCCTACAGCAGTGACTTCTTTGCTTGTCAAAGGGGCAGAGGCTGACACAAAAACAGGTGGCCCAGACTGGATGCAGAGTGGCACGCAAGTGTAAAATGGATGTGGACTCTGTTCTGGCAGATCTGACATGGTCCAAGGTGGCCTGAGTGTGGCCTTCCCACCTCTTCCCTAAGGCAGGATGAGAACTCAGCACCGGCCCCACATGTTCAGCAACAGGCCCTGGAAAAGAGCCCCTAGGCTCCAGGACCTTGCCTCAGCCCATGGTGGCCTGGGATCCATGGCACTGCAGGGCAGGAGCACTTTGCTTTAGCTATGGCTGGGTGAGTCTGGGTCAATCTTGTGCTGGAGGACCCAGGGCCACAGGAACAAAGCAGACTGCAGGCATTCCCAGAAGATGGAACCTCCACTCACTCTCCTCTACCCAGCAGCAGCTTGAGTCCAAAGGAAGACACAGTTGGAGCCTCTCTCCTTTCAGTTCCACTTGTTCCTGAGGAACTGAGGCTGACGTTTAAGCTTAATTTTTATTTTCTGAAAGAAAGAAATAGATTTCCCAGAGACTGAAAGTTGCTATATTATTTAAGACTTTTGTTTCACACGAAGACTTGAGGCCCCTTTGATACTGGCGAGTACAAACCAACATTGTGGCCACTACCTGACAAACTGGACTGTTTGCATGTGAGGCCCTTAGCAAGAGATCAGGAAGCCAGAAAGGAAACCACACCATGGCAGCCCAGCTGGGTAAAGAGAAGGCCTGGAGGAGAGAGACCATGGGCCAGTGGGAAGCAGGTGCTGTTCCCAGACAAGGCCACCTAAGTGTGGGTGCAAAAAAGCAGTGACTAAGGAAACCTTTTTTTCTTGGCACGGAGAGATAGGTTACAGGAATTTGAACTCAGGCCTTCACGATCACTAGGCAGGCATTCTACCTCTTGGGGCCACACCTCCAGCCCGTTTTGGCTTTGGTTATTTTCCAATAGGGGCTTATAATTTTCCCTAGGGCTGGTCTCAGGCAATTATCCTCCTACCTATGCCTTCCAAGTAGCTGTGATGACAGGCTTGCATTGCCATTCCTGATTGTTTGTTGAGATAAGAGTCTCACTAACTTTTTGCCCAGGCTGGCCTCAAACCACAATCCTAGATTAACTCCTCCAGAATAGCTGGGATTACAACTGTGAGCCACATGC